CAAAACGATAGGGGGGACGAAGTAATCAGCAGTGTGACAGATGAAATGAAAGAGTGAGCACATGAGATGGCGTGCCGGCGCTCAGGGCTCAGCTGAGTGTGGCAGGTCGCCGAGAATGATGTGCTGAAGTCCTCTTTTGCATGTCATCCGCAGCTGTTTGGATTTTTAAAAAAATAGGAGATATGTCATAGTGGTGATGCATGACATTTTTAGCATATTAGTTTTCTTATGGATCAATTTAATGGTTGATCTTTTTGGGGGTTTTTTGGAAAAAGCCAGCAGTTATGGATGGCCTCTGTGCGAATTCTCCTCCAGTAGTTATGCATCCCACCATCTCACCATGATACGGAGCATCTGAAGTAGCTGGCAGGCTGCTGGTGATTGGCAGAGCTGCAGCCTCTGGCGTCTCTCCCGCGCACAGATTGCTCCATGCTAGACTGAGTGGCTCTCATCCCCTCATTTGGTCAGCATCAGCAGGACAAGCCGGCTCAATCAGGGGGTAATGAGGATGATGGATGGGTATCATGATTGCGGCAATTGTTTTACTCATGAGAGTCAAATTTTGCAATGGGGCTTGTCACTCACCTGGTAGGATGTCCAAAGCAAAAGGTTGTTCAAATGTAATCTGACTGAGTCACTCATGGTGACTAATAACACGGTGTATGGCAGTGTCTGTTTAACAGTTGGCCAATTAATTTTATCTAGACTGAAATGTCTCCAACTGTCAGACTGATTTTCATTAAATTCCCTCAGCTTGGCGTGTTAACTGAAACCATCCTCTGACATTCATTTGTTAAATGGACTTTTCAGTTAGTCAGGCACTTTGGTTTATTGATTTCACACACCAAAAAGAGGAATACCATCAGATGTTTTCACTGAATAGGCGGCAACTAATTAAGTGATATGTTTGTGCACACAGTTCCATTTAAAACCTGTTAGCAGACACGCTGAAGAATCGTTTTGTGTGCCATTAAAGCCATTAAAGGACGCCTCTGCACCTGTGTCAGGCCGCCATTTTGAATTTTTAAAATTGAAGACTTTGGAAATTTAACCCAAAGATGCTTAGAAGGAACTTTTGACCTCTAGCTGTCCTTTTTAACACAGTTAAAGGGACATGGGCGAGAGTTATGGTATAAGGTCAGTTAATGCATTGTGGAATGGACACAGTAGGCATTGACAACATTTGTATGTATGTATTAAACTTTGTAAGTAAAAAATCTTACACAGTAAATTGTTTTTCTAAAGTTATAGTTATGTTTCTTGGATGGTTGGATTTATAATGCCTCTTCTCCCTTTGTAAGCCATGTATATGGTCTTGTTGTCTAATTTTGTCAGCAGGATCAGCCGTGTGACTCTGTGTGCTGCTTTTTGGTCAGAGGCCAGCGATTTGAACTTTGCCTTCAGTGTGTTATCTCCGGGTTATCAGAGCTTCCTGAGGAAAGCAAGGAGCAGGTTTTAAAGAGGCTTACATCAATCTGGGTGGGGGGCTGTAAACTGCACATCTTAAAAACCCAGCGTTCAACACCATGCTGAAGCATCAGATTTAGTCTTTTTATTATGCTAGTCCAACAATAAAGTGTAACCTCTGAAAGTGGTCGGCAAGTAATATGGGTGAAAACTCTGAGAGTTTTTTTTTTTCTCTATGGGAAGTAATATTATGCAACTCTGTTCTGTAGCTACATGACAAACATGCTTTTGCTGGATGTGGACTGCCCCTTATTTCTTAACTCTGTACCCACCCCAGCCAGTGTTGGAGCGCTTTAGCAATAACAGCAACTGTAGGTCCGACTAGACATTTACCAGCCACACTGTTTACTGCTTTTTTCTCACAGGGTTTTTAGCTCCCTGTTCAGTCTATTATTTTTGTCCTCGACTTCACTCTGCAGAAATTGTACACATAAATCAATCCAGGCAGAAGCAGACACTGACCAGCTTGATAGGTTGTCACATATTAGTGATTTGACAAATGGATTCATTCATTTTAAACTGGATTTGGTGGTGTTCATCAAATTCATTTTCTCTCACAACAGTGAACATAACCTGTGTTCTGTGCATTAACTTGTTGGGTGTCTTGTCTGTGTTAGGAAGTTGAGCCAACACAGTTGGAAGCATGTTGAGGGAAGATGTGTCAATAGTTCCTGTGCTTCACTTCCCTCCCTGAAAGGAAAGTTTGTGTCACTGAGAGTGTGTGTTCATCTCAGAACTTCTTTTTTTTTTCTTTGAGGGTCCTGAGAGACTATGGAAACAGATTGAGTGGGACTTTGAATTTAAAGGCATAGTGGCAGAAATATCGATTTGTGCACGTTTAAACGAGAAAGATAATATGTTTACACAGAAAGGGAGCTTATTTTCGCAATCCTAAAAAATCCTTGATAGCTTCACACTGGTTAACAGATGTTGTGTTGTTGTGCGATGTTTTCCTGAAGGGAAATGCAGGATTTTAACAGCTCCAATGTTCTTACTATAACCAACAAAATCAGAGGAGGTATCACAATTACAAGACCCTATTTTTTTTTTTCTACATGCAGTTCCACATTCGAAGCACAAGTTTAGTGGGACTCGTTTCTTTTCATTTGTTGTTGTTGTTGTGAGTATGAGCAGAAATGCAGTCATACTTGGACACATGTTTGGCAAATACTGCATCCTGGGTTCCTCTCCTGGCTTGTGTGTGCTCAGCAGATTCCTCGGCTCTCCGCCCCGCGTGGAGATTCCTCGGCCCTCCACTCCTCTCTAGCACAAACCCTTCTCTGTTGTGTCAGCCAGGCCCTGCTCTCGCACCCTGTCTCCCCGCCCAGGGACGCCAAACGTCAACCGAGCATCCCATCAGTGTCAGGGAGGCCAGTGTCTTCATGTCACTCACTGTGGCTCCATCTGCTTTTGTGATGTGTGACATGAGATGAATCTGAAACATTGAGTAACATGTGATGTTACAGGCTGGGTAACTTTTCTGTTTTGTACTAAAAAAGGAATTACATGTATGCTACTCTTTTGAAAATAGCTTTAGAACAACAAAGATTCAGCCATCACGGTAAACTAAAAGATGGCCTCATTTTCTGTGGAATTTTGGTACTTTTGATTGCATGTATTCAAATGAAAGGACTCATAAAGGAAGATTTAACTGCAGGAGACAAGGTGCGAGCGTGTTTGGTTTAATCAGATGAGTGATGAAGGTTCTGGCATCAGGAGTACATTGTTGAGCTGATTACTCGTTCAGCACAGACTCCTCCAGGTCAACAGCTTCAGCCTGCGTCAGCATGAAAACCCACCCTAAAACTGCCCTGACGCATTTTTCCTCTATTAGACGAGCTTTTTTTGTTTGTTTGTTTTAACCGACCTCTGTTAAATGATGAGCAGGCTGTTCGTCATGCTATCATTTAAACCTTTATTGCTGTGCCTGTTTGGTTTCTCAGGGCCCTTGTCACAGAAGTGTCCCAATCTTAAGATAGGAAGAGTATCAGATGTTTTTTTTTAACCTGTTTAGGTATAACAGGAACAAATCAAATTTAGAAAACTTGTCTTATCTCTGGCTTTGGAAATCCTGAACCTGACATCCAACTTTAGATTTGAACATCTACCCACCTTTTCTTCTTGTCTCATCTCTCAGACCTTATTGTGTCTGTTTTTTGTCATTACTGTGTGAAGGATGTTTTTAGGGAATAAGTGTAACATTATGATTTTGTCACTCGTGAGCGTTTACAGCTTCTAACACAGTCATTAAAAAAATTCTGCCAGTTGGCAGGTTTCTGCTAAACAGCCGGGCGGAGCATAAAGAGGTCACAGCCCTTTGTATGTATTAAAAACTGTGCTGGCAGTTTTATTTGTGACAGCGCAGGATGTCTAGGAAATACATTTCCCAGCTTTGCAGCCCGTAGAAATCCAACCTTTGCATTACCATTTCAATGGCATTCTCTTCACATCTCCACCTGCTGAACGCACACGAAACACCGAACATAAAGTCTCAAGTTCGGGTTCTTTCCGCGGGGGGTAACTGAGCAGTTTAGTTGGAAGTGGGAGGGGTGTTAGTTCGGCTTCGATAATACAATGAAGTGACAACCACTCAAGGTTCCGTCAAGCTGTGTTATGAGAGAAAACGTTGAGTCAGTCCGCCTCAGTTATTTTAATGTCCACAGTTCATTTATGTTTGTAAGAGCTTTCAATCAGTCCGTCTGCTGCCGGTAGTCTCAGTGAAGTGAGTAATTCCCACCGGCATATTTATTCAGGTGCGTCACTGTCTCTGAATGGTGAGTTGATGCAGGGTGGGAGCACTTAGGGAGCTTCAGGTCAGATTCAGTCACCACGAGAAAGGTTGTCCTGACCCAAGTTCTTGCATGTGACCGCAAAGTTTTTTTTAAAACAGTTTGATGACAAACGCCATTAAAGGCTGCTTCTGCTAAATTAAGAAACCGCCTCATCCAAACCGCGGAAGGGAGGTTCTGGGATCAGGCTGGAGTTTTTTCCTGGATGACAATACAGCTCGAACTCTTCCTGCCATCCCAGAAGCAGGACTGGACGGGACGGGGTAAGGGGAGGCGGTCAGAGGTCAACGCCCAGCTTCTATTGTCCTTCGTGGAGCCGAAATTGGGCCGCGGCCCGCACCGGAACGGGCCCTTTCCTCAGAGCCCCCACCTACCCCTCCACAAATCCCCCTCAAACCTTTCCCAACAGAGCGCCAATCACATAACTCCAAGACCCCTTTCCTTCCTGGCGAGCGTTTGGAGTCACGTGGGACCCAAACGTCAGCCCCAGTTTACAGTGGCTGTCAAAAACACCGCACCACACATCAGCATGAGGCAGCCAGCATCTGCATGTTCACCCTGGGATTCATACTCATGGTAAACGACTCACAGGAGCTCTCCGTGATCTTTGTCCCTCTCGTTCTTCCCGAGCAGACACCCATGGTGGAGGTACTTTCAAACGGACCGGCTCTCGGCTTTAATCGGGGCATGTGGTGTTTAAGGGGCCTCTAACGTATCTGTTCTCTCCCGCGTGGCCTCTTCCAGGAGGTGTGCGCCGAGCTGCGGCCGCGTCTCTGCGTGATCCAGCGAGGCTCCGACGGATATGGCTTCAACCTGCACAGCGAGCGGTCGCGGCCGGGTCAGTACATCAGAGCCGTGGATGAAGACTCTCCAGCTGAGAGGGCAGGCCTGCAGCCCAAGGACAGGATTGTACAGGTAGCTTCAAAACACCAGGGGCTGTAACTGAACACGGTGGATGAAAGGAGACTGTATTTGGCATGATTAAGAAATAGTAGTCTGGGAGGACAGAGAAAAGTTCCGTCTGTTACAAAGCACTGCAATATCCATGAAAAACAAACTATCGAGGTCCCTGTAGGCATATCCTGATTCGTCTGCCATACTTCCGCTCTGCACAGCCTGGAGGGATTTTCTTTTCTTCTTCTCCTGCTTTTTCTTTTTTTTTTTTAATCTTGCATAAAAATAGAATATAATGGAGTAGTGTGCAAGCTGTTCTCCTGTAAAATGTGGCCAGAGATAGGAAGCTTTTCACATTGTCCAGATCCAATTTTCTTCATTTTTCCAGCATATATTGTGATGAAGAAAACATAAACTAACTAGAATTATATTAATTGATAATAATCTGCAAAAATTAAAAGTTGGTATTTGTCAAAAACTCTGCAAAAACTTTAGGTGATATCAAAAGTTGAAAAAATAAATATTCTCAGACTGCTTGGACTCTGTACTGACAAGACAGATTCTATTTTGCACCACTTAAATATTAAACATTCTCTGTTATGTTTTGACACAGAACGCAATGAAAACAGACAGCAAACTTTCCAGGGAACATCTCTGACATATTTGGAGCAGTGTTGCTTCTGAGCATGTTCCTGTCGGCTGATGTTTACTCTTCTCGACTGAGAGAAAGAAACAGAGTAAAAATAAAGATAATTATGGATTTGAATAACTAAAGAGTCTGTAATAGAGTCTGGAATGGGGTTTCCAATCCTTTTTAGGGCCCCAGACAGCCACACCACCCACTGAGAAGCGTGGGCTTTGTAAGAGGCAGACAGCCATTGTTACTGCTCTTACTGGCCAGGCAGCTATTGTCCAGCTTCCTCTGTAGGACTGGCTTAGACGTGCAGGCCCACCCAATGACTTAAACACACACACACACACACTCACACACACACCCTTCGAGACATTTCTCACATGCTTTCCCATGGAGATTTTATACCGCTGGACTCAGCTGGTCTCAAGTCAGCCACGGTTTGACGTTTCCAATTCTTGCAAAACAGAGCGTTAAAGAGCAGCTGACACAGTAGTGATGAGGCAAGCAGAAGTGGGAAAAAAAGAGGGTCAAATGTTAGCGAAAAGGCCAGTAATTGTTAAAAGAATGCGGATTTGTGTGTGGACACACGGGATTTCCTGCCGAGCAGCTTCCGGCAGACACAGTGATAATGTTGAGACAAAAATCCTGACGGAGACCAAAACATGTCTCTTCACTTCTTAGTGGGAACAAAAAAAATCACGCATAGATGTTTTGGTTCATTTTGGGCTGCAAAACCCCATCTTTTCTTCTCCTCAGGTGAATAACATGCAGGTGGAGGGGAAGACGCATTCAGAGGTGGTTGCTGCCATCAGAGCGGGGGGTCATGAGACCCGGCTGCTCGTGGTGGACCCCGACACAGACGCTTTCTTCAAGAGGTGCCGAGTGGTGCCCACCCTAGAGCACCTAACTGGTGAGAGGACGGTTTCTCCCTTTTTTAATGTGTGTAGCTCACGCTTCTTGTCAATTTCCCATAATGTTTTTACTTCAAAGTGGATTGATGCTCAACAGCTGCATTCATAGACACATTATAGAGACACAAGACCTGTCTTTTCTCTGTCCTCCTTAATTTACCCTGTGCCTCTGATCCCTGTCAGAGAAAGAAAGCAGAGAAAGGACAAATACAGAGACATTAAGTCACTGCCTATTCCACCACCTGCTGTTGATTCCCTGCAGAGAAAATGGATAATTTAGACATGAATGCTTCAGACCTTACAGATTAGATGGTTATTTATGAAGTTAGAGGGCCTAAAAACAGAACTCCTGATAGAAATGTATTGGCAAAATTATTTACAAATCTGTTATTGAATAATTTGACTGAGCAAGGAACAAGGCAGCTTCTCCTAAAATGAGTGTTGTAACTTCAAGCCCATTAATCTGATTAAAAGAACTCAAATTTACTTTAATACTAATTTTGATCATTCTGATTTTGAGTAAAATGTTCCAACAAAGACCCCTAGGGGGAGTTCTAGTACAGCCCATGTCCTGGTTCCTGTGTGAGCAGCAGCTGGTCCTCAGATGGGTATCATGTCCACGTTCCTGGGTTTGGTGAACTGTTTGAGTGGCTCTGCGATACTAGATCCCCCATATGAAAATACCAGCTGTTGGCATGGCAACAACCTATTAACAAAAGGACAGCATCGTCAAGTGCTGCATTTAGCCAGAGATGCTGGAGCTACAACAGCCTGTAAAAGCCTGTGAAATTACAGCTTTCACTACCATGGTGAAAACTATGTTCGAATTCAATGTTTAAAAACGGGTTGATATTTAGATTATGTTAACGGAAAAAAACGTTTAAGGGCTAACTTCATCCAGAAAAGGCTGACATGAAATGCTGTGGATTAAACCATAAGGAGGCAACTTAGTTTTCCCCATCTCTGTGGTGGGACTCACTCATCCATCAGTCCAGGATTAGAAATAATAACTCTAAAGATTCCAGAGAGGCGTTTCCCAGGTAACTGCCGGCACTAGACATGCGGCCCACTCACAGGTCACCTGCCTCCACTCGCTCCACACATTGACACACACACACACACCGCTGCATCTCTCCGAGAAGCCTGGCGGGCCAGCACCTTTGTTTGGTTTCCAAGGTGCCCACTCGAAGTGGCCCCTCAGCCTGGAGCTGAAGCGGGTGTTTGGGGGCTGGAGCAGGCTGCTCTCAGAGATGGGAGCGCTGGCACACAACGACACGCGTTACAAAGACGTTAGGACTCAGATTAACTCTGGAGGACCGGCTGTTGTCTGACACAAAAGGGGAACGTTAGCCTGAAACCCCTCTGTCTGCGCTGAGCTTCAGAGGGATGGAAGGTAAGGGTCACGGGGAGGTGGGGGGGTGTGGGATCGTTTGGTAACTTTGGTGAAGCCATGTGAAGGTTTAAAGTCGTGCTGCTTCACTGGTGGAGGAGGAGGAGGAGGAGGAGGAGGAGCACAGGGAAAAGTATCATCTGAGAGAAGATGAATAATAGATAACCCGCTGATACCTGTGCTGTGTAATTGGGTGGGTGTTAGTGGAATGAAAGGTGAGCTGAGAAAACGCCGCTGACGGTTGATTGCAGAGTGCCGGGCTCTGCTGTGCTGCTGTCAGAGGGACACCGAGCCACAGCAAGCGACACGACATGGTGCGCGGTCAGCATCCCGACACACACAGTCCATTAACGGTTGCTGTGTGATTTCCTCGTCCACAGGTCCACTTCCAGAGCCCGTCATCAATGGAGGAGTGGACGAGAAGGTGAGACTCACTAACAACAGATAGACCACAAAAACATATTTGAGAGGTGGAAACTCTGAAAGCAAATTTGACAAGTTTAAATATTGCAACTCTCACAAAGAACCCATTTCCTCTCCTCACCGATTCAGTCTCTCCTTCCTGCCAGGGAGGGGACAATAATAGTTCCCCGTCCTGCTTCAAATCCTTCTCTCGCGGCACACTGTACCCGAACAGGCCAAGGCCGGAGAGCGTTCGATATCGGCCCAGCATTTTTGTTTTGTTTTGTTTTTTTTCAGGCGTAGTGAGCACCATCAGAGAACTGAAGTGGGTTATTAATCAGGGACGTGCATTAAACAGACTTTCCTGTTATTGTCTCACTGTTAAGGTGTTCATTGTTTGGTGCAGTGCACAAAAACTCCACCCAACTAGTTCTCTGTCAGTTCTTCTGAATTGAAAGAAAAAAAAACATACAAAATTAGACAGTCATTCATGCACCGGACAAATTGGAATTATTTCATGCTTGTAAAGTGAAAATCAGGAAACAGTTTAAAAGGCTTTGTCAGAACATGGTTAGAGAAGTCAGTGCTTTTTTTTCTGCATTGGTGGACAGAGAGCTCGCATTTTAGGAAGTCAAGATCAAATGGTTTCTATTTTCAGAAATGTTCAAAAGAGAAACCCCATCAAAATTCCTCTCTGATTTTACAGTCTGAAACTGTAGCTAAACACTAACTAGTTGTAACTACCTCTTACGACTCCAAGAAAAAAATTAATCACTTTAATAAACTAGTGTATTCTCTCATTGTCCAAGATGAGAGATGAAGCCAGAAGAGAAACAAAATGACGCTACAGTGTTAGTGCTGGCAGTCTTGAATTGGGCTTCAGGCCAGATATGCAGAGCGAAGCCTGACCGGCACTTCCCGTTGCTCAGGAACTGTATGTGCAGCAAAGCACTTATTTGTTCCATGTATTGTTGTGTAACAGCACTGAAGAACTGGGAGGGAGGGTTTGAGAGGGAGGTCTGTCAGGTAAAAGGCACAGACAGGCCCGACAGGTTCCTGATGAAGACCACACATCCTCTAAATATTTCTGTGGTCACCACTTTTATGGATAAATTTCTATTAAACAGCAAGGTAAAACTAAAGATAATGGAGCTGATAGTTTTCTATTTGTCCCAGTTTTGTATTGTCGAATCATAAAGTCCTGGACACAAATTTAATGTATGCCCCACGGTATTTTCCTTGAAAGGAGATTGAAGGAAGGAAACTTATCCACTTCAGAAAACAAGACATCTCAAGTCTAAGACTGCCCCCAAGTGCTGAACAGGGGCACTGCACATGGGCTTAAACACTTCCCTCAAGCTTTTTGGTTTCTTTACCAAAACTTTGTTAGGATTAAATACATTTGTACAAAACTGTTGGCCATTGTCAGGTAGTGATAATGACGAGTGTTTGTGTTCACAGATGAATGGTAAAGTGGCCAAAGAGGGGCAGAGAGATTCAAAACTGTCGGTCAGTCCGTCACCCTCCAATGCCTCATCCAACACTTCCCTAACAACCCCGATCGCAAGCACTCCGCCCGAGGTACACCACACAGTAGAGTTATTCTCACTACTATTATTATTGAGGAAGAAAAAAATAGTTCTACCTGTTTTCGCTCAGACATCCCGAGTCATTTACTGTTGTTTCCTATTCAGGGTTTGATCACAGACACCATCCCTGCTCTGAGCCTCAGCCTGCAGCAGGTCAAAGAGCTCGCCCACCAGAAGCGCTCCAACAAGCGAGCGCCCCCCATGGACTGGACCAAGAAGAACGAGCTCTTCAGCAACCTATAGGGCACCTCTCTCCACCTGGAACACACACACACACACACACAAAAATACCACCGTTTATTTTGTTTCAAAGAGACACAGAGTTTTTTTGTTTTGTATTTTACATTATTATTATTGTTATTACTATGATGCAAAAAGACACCAGAGAAAGTTAAAGCTGTTTTGTAAAATATAATATCCTCCTAATTATTAATCCTGATGTTGTTTTATCCCAAACATTAGTCTGATTATATTTTAGATATATTATATGCTACTAACCAGCAAAGATGCGTATGCCAATGACTGGACTATACTGTAACTGTGTGCATGCCTTAGTTACGGCGGGCCTGGATTCCTTCCGTGTGTGCGTGCTCTTGTGTGAGTGTCTGCTGCATTTGCTGCCTGTGGAATCATGAAGGAGTTGGTTGTTCTGCTGATTGTAATGACTAAACCTCAGTTGGAAATCACACATGTGCTCTGTCACAAGAGCATAAAAACAATCTGACAATCAGTGAGTTTTACCTTTTGAGGGATCAAATGTCTGACCAAGGTTGATTTTTAAATTCACCTCTGATGTTCCTTCTTTTTGCTTTTCCACCCGTTGCAGTTATTTGAACCGTTTTCTTCTTATATCTGTACAGATATGTTATTTGAGCTTTACTCGTCCTATTTTTGAAAATTATTCCTGAGTAAGGTAAATATTGTAAGGTTTTATTAATAACTGTTTTTGACATGAATCTCCTGTTTCTGTTTTTGGGAAATAGTCGCTGGCTTGAAACTGGAAAAAATGTATTCTAAGTTTTTCTCATATAATGAATATATATATACATATATATATGTATATACATATGTGAATATATATATACATATATATATGTATCACGTATTATGTCTATTTTCTACACCTCTGACTTAAATTTCACCGATACCTTTCATGTGAACTATAGTATTTTCTGAATCGCATACCTTACTCTTGTTAGCCATAATTTTGACAACTTTTAAACCACAATTTTTTAATTGCTTCAAAAGAATGAGAACGTATGAGATTTAAATGTTTCTGATGATGTTTTTAAAACATTTGGATTATGTTCAGCACAGGGAATGCCTCAGTGACTGTAAAAAAATTGAATGACTGAAGTAGAGGGAAAAAAGCTTTTTTTGTGAAAACGATGAGCAATTTCTATTCTATAACGTGTCAGTCATCTTGGCAATATCCTGTTATCTGAGAATGAATAAAATATTCTCTTATAAAATTGGAGTGTTTTCTTGTGTATAATATGATTAAAGTAGCTGGTTTTGCTTAAAATTAGTCAGCAAAAAATGTGTTTACAATTTTCTTTTATTGCTGCAAAAATACATCCTAAAATCAGATTTTGGCCCTTCATTCTTTTCCTTTTGGTCGAATCAGTAGTGTTATTGCTCTGATCTGTTGAAATAGATTTTTAACTGCGTTGTATGAGCTAGTTAGAGGGGTTTGATAGTTGGATGGGTTAGATCAGTTTTTATTAAGCCAATTTGATGAGTGATCCATTTCAGATTACTTTTCTGTTCATTTAAAGCTTGTGATGAGTCTCCTCTGGTATCAGGAAGAAGTGGTGATGATGGAAAGCAGACAGGATATATGAATATATGAAAGCCAGCCTCAGGGGGTGGATTGAAAGAGCAGATTTAAAGAAGAGAGCTTAGACTTATGGCTACAAATGCTGTGAGGAACAAGACTGTTGGAGCAAAGTGATGAGCAGACTTTAGAAACAGGTGAGTCTGACAGAGTGAGAAATAAAGGTGACAAATCAGAAGGCACAAAACTAGCAAGGAGAAAAGACCATGCACCAGACAGTGCAGTCAGAAATGAGCGAGGAAAAGCTGCCTGACTGAAACTTAGCATAGCCTTGATTTATGCACGACTGCTCAGGTGAGCACTTGATTTACTAGAATATTTGTAATTGTCATAATGGGTTAATCAGTTCCTGCTGTCAGCCTCCAGACTGTGTTGATGTGTATTCTCCACACAAATCTTCACGTGTGCTGCTCTCCTGTCCTCCAGCGTGTTGCTGCATCTTCAGCAAATCTCTCTAATGGCCATGCCTTATCTGCTCCCTCCGGCCCTGCCATCATTATCTCAGCTCACTGTCAGCCCCTGCCCCCTCTCTGCAGGAACACTGAACCGAATTTGATTTAATGGAATGGAGGAACATCGAGGTGAAATCAGGTTAACTGGTAACTGTCAAGGAACATTTTTATAATGTGGAAGAAAATGGCTTCTGTTATTGCTTATTTTGAGAACAATTGCAAAGAATAGAACTGCAGCACCTTTAGAATAATAACTGCAAAATTCCAAGTTACAAATCACTGCGATATCCAGAAAAAGAGACGGCAAATGTAAATCTTTTTTTATTCTGTCAGAGAGGTGGTAATCTCTTTAACTACCATGTGCAGTTAATGATTGTGTTCATTGAGTGGGACTTAAAAAATCACCCCTCATACTTGCTATATATAGAGATTGAATGAGATTAGCTCCTGCACTTTTACAAACCAATATTCAAATACATATGACCAGACATATGACACATAAAACAGCTCCTGTTATCTGCTTGTGGTTCGGTTGTCTCTTGGTTCACAAGTCAGAAAAAGCATAATGGATCTCTCTTTCTTGTCCTCTTCTACATTTGAGCAGTGTTTTTAAAATAGTAAAGGAAAATGAAAATCTCAAGTGGCTATTGTGTGTTAAGCTTTCCCTTTAAACGAGGAGACGGTTTACTGTTTGGGAGAACTGATGTGAAACTGCTTCCTCCGTTATGTTCTGGTGAAAAAGACAGGTTGAATTCAGTCTGTTTAATCAGCTAAATGGGGTGTGATAGCATGCAACAAAATGTTTTCTGGTTATTTACGGCTGACGTGTGTATGCTTTGGCCCCCTCAGTGGAGTCCATTTCAATCAGTTTCCTCACAACATCTCAGGATAATAATAATCACAGCTTTACAACTGCTGATACTTAACCAACTAAGATTAAGACGGCGATGAGAACATAAAGAGAAGATGGAGGGCAGTGACGTGAATGATTAAGATGATGAAGGGCAGGTGAGGGTCGGGCGATGGACCTTCACAGCTTAGTCACAAACACGGCCGGTGCTCAGCAACAGTGTCCACCAAGGGGGTCCTTGTAAGGACTGGAGTTAGGGTGAGACGAGGGGTCGACACAACTCCACCTTCAAACTCCACCGCCTGCTAAAAATAGAGCTGCGTGCATGCGCGTCAAGTCGCGGCGAGTAAAATCACTGACAAAAACAAAGCTGTGCAGGATGTATGACATTAACTGTATGGAGGGAGATGGAGGTGAGGGTTTAAGGAGAGTAATGGAAGCCAGAGCGTGAAGGTAAAGTCTGACGCATGAGCCCAGCAGTATGTGTGGCTGCTGTAACACAAGCTTTTTCCTGACCGTGTTCTCTGAGAAATCCTCATCCACTTCTGCCTTATTTTCCTCATGTCCACACATACACGCATGCACACTCCTTTTATAAAAATACCCAAGGACAATCCTCACTATTAATAGGAAGTGTTGTCAACTGGCACCGGAGAAATGGGACCTTCTGTTCAGCTAACTATTTTAGCAGTCCTTTGTACTCATGACCCCTCACACTGTCAATTACAGCTATTTTCCAGACTATTAAGAGCCATAAAACAGGTTTCCTGAATCCCACAGAGACACATATGTCTTGGCATAATAATGTGTACAATATTTCAAAGTTGGATTCATTATAAAAGCATTGTTTTTGTCTCTATTCTTTTTTTTTTAAGTACTATTAAATTTGTAATAAACCTCTCAGTCTCTGTCTATTGCTTATTTTGAAAAAATACAGTGGCTGTTGTCCCTTGGTCTTAATGATCCTGCGCAGTGAATTGCTGAGCGGTAGTGATGGACACATTGCTATATTATTTACTTGGGTCCTCTTTCAACACTGGGCTCTTTCGGTTCCAACTCTGGTGCAGTAATCAAACTCCACGCATACTGCAGCTGATTTATAGGACTCAGGGTCAACATCCAGTGGTCCTGGCCTCACCTCTCCCCTGACTCTGACTTCATAAATACACCACTGGCATCCACCATCCATGAGAGGAACCGTGTTTCTGGATCATTCCTGTGGTACATTGTGTTTTATTGGTACATAAAAGGTTTACATTACACAGCAATGCTACAATGTCTTAGTTAATGATGATGTCATTTGATTTCCAAAAGGTGCTCATTTAAATACACTCTTTCAGATTTAGAAAGGGATTTCCCTTTTTATTTCCTTGTGCTCGATCGACACAAAAAAATAAATAAAGCCATTATGCCTTCAAGTGATCATTTTTGTGTTTTGCATTGAAAACTCCACTTTTGTCCTTAACTGTTGGAGTAGGGGGGCGGCACGGTGGTGTGGTGGTTAGCACCATCGCCTCACAGCAAGAGGGTTCTGGGTTTGAGTCCCCGGGGGAACCAGGACCTTTCTGTGTGGAGTTTGCATGTTCTCCCTGTGTCTGCGTGGGTTCTTCCGGGTTCACCGGCTTCCTCCCACTGTTCAAATACCTGCATGTTAGGTTGAATTGACATTCCGAGTTGCCCTTATATTGCTCCCAACATGTATCAGTTCTGTTTCAGTATGCATGAGTCATGAGTTCTAATGGAATAGTCTCACTACACAGATGTTTATGACCACATGTGCGCAGATGTTCACATGCCAATCATCATTGCGTCATGTCAGGTTAATGATTCTGAATGAGCTTTTTCTTTGTTTTTGATATATCCATCAGACTTACAGAGATGTTACTGATCGGTTAAACAAGGAGGCAGGTTGTTTTGTGTGTTTATATGTGTGTGGTTTAAAAAAAAAGAAAATGTAACTTTTGCTACCAAAAGTTCTGCTTCTTTTTAATTTACACAAGTATGGAAATAAAAACTAACTTTTTTCTTGTGAATTATGTACAGAAATATCCAGGGTACATGGGAAAATATATATAAATTAAAATAGATTCATAAAAGAAATAAATATATATATATATCTATATATATATATATATGTGTATGCGTGTGTGTCTAAAAAAATAATAAAAAAGACAAAAGCCTCTGTGTGGCCGCTGCAACGTGCACACCTCTGTTATGACAGAGGAACCTTGGCACTCATGATGGGTATAGCAAACTGTCAATTGAAACTTTAACTGCTTGTGTCTGTGTGTGTGAGTGTACGTCTGTGAACACCAGGAATAGGGTTTGGGCTGGGACAGCGCTTACAGCTTAGCACCATTCCAGCAAAACACCTGTCACACACACACACAAAGACACACACGCATGTGGACTTACACTTTCTTGTTCACGCGCACACTTGTCCGATGCATACCATGCGCTCTGTCTGTCTGTCTGTCGTTCCGTCTGTCCCTCTCTCTTGAACACTTTGTGACATGCTCAGAAATGTTGACACTTGTGTTTGCAAGGTCATATTCATATAGTCTCTCACATGGCCTCTCTTGTGCTTACCATCTTCTGATTACTGCCTGAATCCATGCAGACATGTAGATTCAGTCTGACATATGCACACACTTTGAGTGTTTGATGGCTTACAGATTTAAAAAAAATGTGAGTGTGGTTTCCTTGAATCTACAGTTGTTGTTTCCTGCATTTTACAGGAGTGACAACTCTTGAAATCACTGTGCTCTTTTGTTTAACCTCCATTGCCCTCTTTCAGCTTCTTCCTTCCATCTTGCCTGAAGCTCATCCATCACACTTTCATCACGTCTGTTTCTCCAACCCTCCGTACACAGACATTTTCAGCCTGCCAGTGCTCAGGCCCGTATATGGAGGAGCCATCCAGCAGGGGAACCACAGGGTTAAATATACTCCGAAGCTCCGAGAATGCCAAACTCCTCCAACTAACCTGCCAGAGGGTGTTGCACCGCGGCGCACAGGGACAAACAATGAGCACATTTGCTCATTGTCTCATTAGCTTAAGCATTTTTCTAAATGTTATAATGACCTTTAATGATCACTTCAGACGTGAAATATTAAAAACATTTACAATTTTCATACAACGGATTCATCTATCAAACACAAAGATCCACGTCAAAGCTTTTATTCTGTTGGTCTTCATACAAGTCTTTGGTTTAAAACACAAAAAAGACTGAGACATGGGCATGTGTAACAAACCTCTTATTAAAAAAATCTGGTCTGCAGGACAGCATAAGCTGTAGCGCTGAATGTAAAATGTTTCCCATTGTTGCTAGATATAGGATTTCAGCAGCTCAGGCTGTCGGACATACTTTTTGTTACATCATGAACCAAATATGTTCAGTGGGTGACAGATCTGGACTGTAGGCAGAACAGCTTAACACTTTTATATTTCACACGAGTTATGCTGTTGTTCATTTTCTATACCTGATTCATGCATTCAGGACCGTAATGGGAGGTGGGAGTCGACCCCAGATGCCATCTGGAGAGGTGGAATACATCCAGGTGAACTTTATACATATCACCTTACATTTATTCAGATTAAGTGCCTTGCAGCATTTTTCAGTCATTCATGTGGGGCTGTAAATGATCATTTTCTGGGTTCTGAGGACGTAACACAAACTTTTTAAAACCTAATCTTTCTGAAAAACAGATATGGAAAATGTTAAATTAATGGGAACAAACAACCTCAACTGCAGCTCTAACTAAGTTATTCAGAAAAGATTCCAAGAGTGAACAGCACTCGTCTTCACACCATCAGTTCAAAGTGACGCTTCACCCAAAGACCCAATATGATTGAAGAGGAGATGGAATTGTCTGTGTGTCTTCCGTTTGAAGCTGTGTTGGCTCTGCTTCGCTGTAAAGAAAACAAAGATCCTAACATTAGGAAGTGATTTGTGATTTCTAAATATTTCCTTGGCCCAGAGTGCTGAGGGAGCTTACCAAAAGATCTGGTGACATAACAGAGCAACACAAGAACCTGGAGCGTGTCCTCGGCTCCCGTCCCCGGGGACACGCAGAGCGGCGGGCCTTGGTTTGCTTCCAGAGAGGGTTTTTCAGGGCACGTGG